TATTGCATCACAAGCATTTTGTTGCAAGAAATAAAGGTTTGTCGCCCTAAGTTTCCCACCAAAAATATTTTGACGCCTTGCTTCCCTCATATTTTTGGCGACATTCTTTATTATTTGTCGCAACTTCTCACATTTCACGACAACTTTTTATGTCGTCTTATATTTTTTGGTACTTATTTTTTCCATCACAATTTTCGCAACAAACTTTAAAAATGTGTCGCGTTAAATCATTTATTGCAGCAACTTTTTGTATGTCGTGAAATCACAAATTTGTTGTAGTGGAATTTTACGTATTATATTATTGTTAAAAGAGCCACAAGATGAAAAAAAGTTCACAAGGACATTTATTATCACTATTATTTATACTAACCTGTGAAAGAAAAGTGAAGGTATATTCAACAAGTTAGTTCATAGAATTTTTTAAAATAGAGGTAGCGTTTCTGAAATTGTCATAAACCTCGGAGGAGGTTGCATTATTTTAAACTTAAATAAATAAGGTTTTTGTTAGTTTTGAACTAACATATTTTTCATGTAACACAACAATCTTTGTTGGCCATATTTAGCGAAAAATATTTACTTTCCCTTTTTATGGACAAACAAGAATATACGAATTTATTTCTGCGCATAATTTCCAAATTTCTCCGCATAATTCGGATATATTTTTAAGTATATCTCGACTTTAAAGCTATACATAATTTGCAAATTTCTTTCAGTGTAGAAATAGGAATCCTATCCAATCTATGCCTTCACTGCTATAAATATATCTGCTCTTCTCTTGTCAATTTCACTTTGCTCTCAAGATTTTCGAATCCAAAACCATTCAATACAAATTCTTGTTTCCTCAAATCTGATCGATAGAATTAAAGTACCTTGAATTAAAGAAGATGACGGCTCTTTTCAGGGAATTCGGTGAGTTGGTGAAGAAGTTACGGTGCAAGAACGATAAAAGTGATGAATACGAGCTATTGACTGATGACAGCAATGATGGCAAGAAGGAACGTCTTCGTCGTGGGTTCTTCCCAGTTTACGTGGGGGAAGAGCGCAAGAAATTTTGGGTACCAGTTTCAAAATCTTCAACGTTAAAGTGCATACTCGATCACTATGTAGAAGAATACAATCCTTCGGAGCCCATATCGATGCCTCGTATCACCCCTGAGATGTTCAATTGTCTTCTTGAATACACTTAAGTATAGATTACTTTATAAATAAAATAGTTTTAACAAATATTCTTTTTATTGTCAATATCGAATCTAGACTAAATTATTTATGGTCAAAATAAGTAAATTTTTCATAAGTATGAATTAGTAATATATGAAAATATACGTAGAAATAAAAAATAATAATTACTTTTAAATTTAGCAAAATATATAGTATCTCTAACTATTAAAATATGTAATTTACTTCTAGATCTAATCAATACAAATTATCTATAATAAAAGTTAATTAATAATTATAAGTAAATTTATTTAGACATACATTAAATAAAATATCTAATTTAATAACAAAATATTCATGAATGTCATGAAAATATTAATTAATAATCGTAGCGTCTTTAATGCAATTTAAATAATTGAGCATTGGACTTGGGTTGACATTCAAATTAGAGTTGGGTTAATGCTAATATTTGGGCCAAAATTCTTCAATTTCTTCTTAAGGTTTTCATTGGGCTGGGGCAAAGCTGGGCCAAAATTCTTCAATTTCTTCTTAGGGAAAAATTCTTAAATAAGGTGTATACTTTACACCAATTCAAAAATCAGGTTTATAGTTTGAAAATTCAAAAGTTAGGTTTTTTATTTTTATTTTTTATTTATGAAATAACAAATTATTAAATCAATTTATTATTAAATATTTAATTCTAATATAATATAATTAACCAATCTCACATGCACCACCCATACCGCTCCGGGGATTATTTCGGAGACCATTCCGAACGCCACTCTTCTCCGATGATCGTTCCGACGACTACTTCGATTCCGAAAATTATTTCAGCGACTATTCCGGTGACCATTCTGATCACAAATTTATAATTTACGGTCACAGTTCAAAAATTTTATAGATCACAATTAATTCATTAATCACAAATTTCAAAATTAGTTGGTCACATATCAAAATTTATAGGTCACACAGTCACAGATTTGCAAATTAATTGGTCACATATTTTTTTACGGTCACAGATTATATAATTTTTATGTCACAGATAAAAAAATGGTTGGTCACAGATTATATTTTTAGTCACAGAAAACCAAAATCCCCAGATCCTCCACCTGCACCACCGTTGACTGCCACCACCATTGTCAACCTACAACACACCACATCAATTAAATACCACCACCACGGTACGCTCCATCTCACAACATCGATCTGAAAAAAGTTCCCAAACTCCTAGATCCCATCTATGAACAACAACTTCCACCACCAACCACTAACATATTAACTATTTAATTATTCACCACCACCTCACCGTCGTCGCCACCACCATTAACAACTGTAAACACCAAGAGCTGTACCCCCCAGCCCATTCTATTCAACAGCAATGGCCACCAACTCCAGATCTGAAGCTACTGTCGCCAATGGAACCGAAAGCCCTGTTCCATCTCCAACACCATCACTTCACAATCGGTATCACCGGTTGGGGCTACATAAAATCAGGTGTTGAGCGGAGCCCAAACACCCACAGCAGCGTCGAGGCGCTACTGCGATTCACAGCAGTGCCTGTGAACAGCAGCATCGCAACGCCGACAGAGAGGAGAAGGGAGTGAGGGAGAAGTAGAAGGGAGGGAGGAAAGCGACGAACGATGATGCACGTGAGAGAGTTGAGAGAAATGAATTATTTAGGGTTTGAATTAGATTTAGAAAATTTGGGGAGGGGTTGAATATATAATATTTAATACTTGATTTAATTATTCATTCAATACCTGATTTTTGATTAAATAAAATTTACACATTGAAAAATTAAATGCCTAATTTTTTCTAATTTCCCTTCTTCTTATGGTTTTTAAATGTAAATGAGCTGATTTCTTCTTATGGTTTTTAAATGTAAATGGGTTGGGTGACAATGCTGACACTGTTACCCATTATCTCCGCCCCTGATGCATACTACACTTAGAAGTTAATTTGGCAAATTAATAATGGAGGTACTTTTGATAGATCAATAAGGGAGGGGTCAAGGCTGATGGGGAAGCTGCACGGTGGGACGATTTCGTTATTCAGCCCTAATATTGACGGCTAGTTTAATCAAATTTTGAAGGTCAACAAATTACAAGTTCAGTTATTAACTTTAAAGTAAACAAATGAGGACTAAAATAAAACAACTCTAATAGTTGAGTGACTATCTATGTCATGAAAACCCCAATTCTCACAACCCACGGACTCATCTGTTGACTTTTATTACCAAGTCACCATCTTCCAACCTCTTTATAACCCTCATTTCAAGCGTCGAAATCAAATCAACTCATCAAAAAGTAGAAAATCACAGATTCAAAGAGTACCTCTGAAATGGCGTCCGGCTTGTTACCATTTCGGCCACTGGCAATCGTTAGAGCTAGTATCAGCGCCGATGACCGGAAACCTGACGCTAAAAAAACTTCATCGTCCCACTGGTGGGCCCCGCTATTCGGAGTCTCGTCGGAGCCGGACTATTTACAGTCTGACGATAAAAAGACCAACCACCTGGATCCGATACAGCCGAGGTCCCGGTTCACTCCGGGATCTTTCACGGAGGAAAAGGCGAAGCAGCTCCGGAGGATGACAACTGATACGTCGTCGCATGATATGTATCACTCCGCCATCGCATCAAGGCTCGCCTCCGATTTCACCGACCGGCGTACTTCGTGAGTGATACGTTTTTTATATTAATTAATTTGTATAAAATATTAGAAAATTGTTAGAAGGTTCTGTGCCGATGTGGATCTGATCCGTAAGCTTGTAATATTTTAATCAGTATGATTATGTATAATTGGAACAATAAATTATCCTAATTACTCTTTAATGTAATAAATTTGTAATTAATGTCAATAATTGATTATTTTTAGTGTCAACCTACATGTAGGGTCGAAGTGATAATTCTTTTTATAAGGTGGGGTTGAAGTGATTTAGGACGTGTTCTATCGTACTTAAAATTCAGTTAAAATTGAAAATATAGTCGTTATTGGGTCCACTCGTCTAATAAAAGTCAACAATAACAATTAGCTTTCAATTTTAATTTGATTTTAATCTCTACCGAATACGTCCTAAACAGATTGTGTTTATGATATTTCATGGGATCCACAATTTTTATCACGCTGACCTTTTCCTGATCATATATTTATCAACTTTATTAAAATTTATTAAAAAATATTTTTTAACAAAATCAAATAGAGGCTAGATGTTATCATATTTTCTGAAAGTTTAAATTTTTGATGAGTACGTAGCACCAATCCTGAGCTCATGTAAGTAGGATAAAAACTTTCCACTAATTTCGCTTACTACGACAACAATAAAAAAAAAAAAATTATCTTATTCACTGAATCAAGAAATCAATTTCATACGTAGCAGTACAAATGCTGAACATTAGTCCTTACACCATCTAAATTGGTACTAAGCACTCGAGTCTAGGTGACATTGTGGACTTGTTGTAGTGCATATTATTACTAAATTGTTAGAAGTTTGACCCTTGTATGAAAAATATAAATTCGTATGGAAGATAAAATACAAAATAAATTTATTTTTTTGTAAAATAATTAGACATGCACTCGCTCATAGGAAAGCAAAGATGTTCATCAAGTCACTTGCTCAACCTAACATCATAGAGAAAAAATTGCTTCTGGATCCTTATCAAGTGGGCCCTCAACTTTTACCTCGCATTTATCTTCGAAACCTTTTAATTTCGGAATATCGTAGTTCACAATAGACGTCTTGTATCGATCGTACAGAGAAAAAGACACGCCACTCTCATATATCTAATTTTTTGAAGTTAAAATTGGTGCAACATTAATTTTAATTTTAATTACAAAAAAGAAAGAAAGAAGAAGTTGTACACTTCGACTTTTAATAGTAATATGGATAAAAACATATTGACTACCCATATCACGTACCTCTTTAATAGGTGAATAACCGAACCCTTGGAACTTTTTTAAATACAAAATGTGATAAATCAACATCAACCTTAAAAGGTTTTTTGAAATAAAATATTCCAACTTGCCTACATCTCCAAAGAGAATATCTAGATGCCGCCGGCCATAATTTGAAAGAGTTTTTTTTATGGTAAAATAATCTAAGCTCCTGTTTGTCAAAGTCAAACAATCAATATTAACCACATCTTTTATGGATCATACAAATTTTTAACCACACATTTCAAAAACTTCTATCACCATCTACTAAAAATTTAATTTTAATTATCACCAAACACCCTCTAAAATTTAATTTAAATGAAAGTCAATAATTAATTTCAAGTTTCAACCCATATTTCATAGAATTCAAACTTTTCAATCACACATCCCATTAATTTTTATAAAAATTTATTCAAAATCTGCGTTTAATCCCTACCAAACAGGTGTATTGGGATTGCACATGGAGAATATGAAAATATTTGGCCCAAACTTATGTATTTGGAGAGGGAATTGAAAAGCAATTTGTATTTTGTCCATATAGCCGTGAAAATATCTATTAATGCTATTTTGTCTATACTCTTATGCTAAATGGGAAACAATTTTTTTGCACATGTTTATTTCTCTCAGTATGAGATATTGCATGTATTGGCCTTTTACACTTTAGTTAAAACGTAGACAGGTCGAGTGGTCCATATAGACACTTTAAAGAATTTTCTGAGAAAATGTTAAGTCAGCTTTGGAGAGCGCTTCACGGTTTAGAAATTTTCGATCATTGTTATATTTCTTCGAAAAGAAACAAATTTTAAAAGTTAATCGTTTGACTGTTCAAAACTCTATATGCGCCAAATACGATTGGATTGAAGTGATAGGAAAAATGCTTCTTGTATTACCAATGAATTTATTTGCGCGTACACGTGTATTGTTGTACTTTAAGAACATCCAATTCATTAATCTCGAAGAATTGAATATTCGAATAATAATATAAAGATTGTCAAAATATTTCGAAGTGTCAAGAATTGTATTATATTCATTTGATCACTTGACAAAAAAGTAGCAATAACTCCAACTCGATTTTAATGTCACGAAACATGATAGTGCATTTTGAAAGAAACATGATATTGCAGTTTTTCAAAATGCATTAAGTATTAGAAATCTAGACAGAGAGCATTCCTCGAAATGTAAAAGTACTTAAAAATAACATTGAAGCGTAGCCAAACATATGTGTGAGTATCTATTCTCTTATATAATTACTTTTATTATAATGGGAAATACGTGGTTGAAAAAGAAGAAAAAATTATTGATGTGATGGAAAATATTATTTTATTGAAGAATGTGTGGTTGAAAATGAGAATTGATTTACTGTAGAAAAATTTAATCCCTCCCAAACAGAGCCAAATTGTTAGAATTTTGACCCTTGTATGAAAAATATACATTCGTATGGAAAATAAAATATAAAATAAATTTATTTTTTTGTAAAATAATTGGACATGCACTCGCTCAAGGCTTCAAAATCCAATTTCAAAATTGTATGTGATAGTGTTGAACACTGTGAAAATACAATTATAAAGAAAATATTGCAAATACTAGAAGAAATTATCACTATTTGATTGTAATGGATTGATTAAGGGGCAAATTCTTTTAATGAAAGCGATTTGTAAATAAATTAGGAATTAGGAAAGCAAAGATGTTCATCAAGTCACTTGCTCAACCTAACATCAGAGAAAAAATTGCTTCTGGATCCTTATCAAGTGGGCCCTCAACTTTTACCTCGCATTTATCTTCGAAACCTTTTAATTTTGGAATATCGTAGTTCACAATAGACGTCTTCTATCGATCGTACAGAGAAAAAGACACGCCACTATCATATGTCTAAGTTTTTGAAGTTAAAATTGGTGCAACATTAATTTTAATTACAAAAGAGAAAGAAAGAAGAAGTTGTACACTTCGACTTTTAATAGTAAAATATGGATAAAAACATATTGACTACCCATATCACGTACCTCTTTAATAGGTGAATAACCGAACCCTTAGAACTTTTTTAAATACAAAATGTGATAAATCAACATCAACCTTAAAAGGTTTTTTGAAATAAAATATTCCAACTTGCCTACATCTCCAAAGAGAATATCCAGATGCCGCCGGCCATAATTTGAAAGAGTTTTTTATGGTAAAATAATCTAAGCTCCTGTTTGTCAAAGTCAAACGATCAATATTAACCACATCTTTTATGGGTCCCACAAATTTTCAACCGCACATTTCAAAAATTTCTATCACAATCTACTAAAAATTTAATTTTAATCCTCACCAAACACTCTCCAAAATTTAATTTAAATCAAAGTCAATAATTAAATTTCAAGTTTCAACCACATATTTCATAGAACTCAAAACTTTTCAATCACACATCCCATTAATTTTTATAAAAATTTATTAAAAATCTACGTTGAATCCCTACCAAACAGGCGTATTGGGATTGCACATGGAGAATATGAAAATATTTGGCCCAAACTTGTGTATTTGGAGAGGGAATTGAAAAGCAATTTGTATTTTGTCCATATAGCCGTGAAAATATCTATTAATGCTATTTTGTCTATACTCTTATGTTAAATGGGAAACAATTTTTTTGCACATGTTTATTTCTTTCAGTATGAGATATTGCATGTATTGGCCTTTTACACTTTAGTTAAAACGTAGACAGGTCGAGTGGTCCATATAGACACTTTAAAGAATTTTCTGAGAAAATGTTAAGTCAGCTTTGGAGAGCGCTTAACGGTTTAGAAATTTTCGATCATTGTTATATTTCTTCGAAAAGAAACAAATTTTAAAAGTTAATTGTTTGACTGTTCAAAACTCTATATGCGCCAAAGACGATTGGATTGAAGTGGTAGGAAAAATGCTTCTTGTATTACCGATGAATTTATTTGCACGTCCACGTGTATTGTTGTACTTTAAGAACATCCAATTCATTAATCTCGAAGAATTGAATATTCGAATAATAATATAAAGATTGTCAAAATATTTCGAAGTGTCAAGAATTGTATTATATTCATTTGATCACTTGACAAAAAA